CCCCCCCCCCCCCCCCCCTCCCCCCCCGGTGTTTGCCATCGGGGTTGGGTTTTCGTCGCTTGGGGCAACGACGTTGTAAAACAAGCCGCCCCCCCCGGTGTTTGCCATCGGGATTGGGTTTTCGTCGCTTGGCAACGACGTTGTAAAAGAAGCCAATTCACTTCGTGAACTCGGCAACCAGGTTACCGTTTTTTTTTTTTTTACCTCTTTTTTTTTTGCGGTAACCATAATGGTGGTCGAGTAGATCATGTTGTGCGGGGTGGAGAAACCTCACTCCGCGCAAGGGGGATGATCGCACCACGTTGTGTTAAATTGGTCAAGCACCCTCGAGGCAGTTACACAGTGCTTATAACTGTCTCTGGAAGTGAAAGCACCAGAAAATAAATTAAGTGATACGCAGCTGTCATCCGTGCGCAAGGAAGTAAGCACAAGATGCCGAACACCCTTCGCAGGATGAAGCTCACCCTTCATGCGACTCGCCGAATACCTCACGGCGCTTCGCGCTTGGTGATGTGAGAGCCTGGTCCGGTGAGAACCCGGCATGCTCCGTCCCGGCTTTGTAGGGATGCGAGGTCAATGGTCTAACGACTACGGCATGCACGACTATGAGTACCCCCCCCCTCCCCCCCCTCCCTCGTCGCTACAGGCGTTCGAGGCTAACCCCGGCAAGGGGATGATGGTCGAGTATCCCCACCTCCCGCACGGCATCTTGTCGACCGTGCTGCCCGACCACTACGGGGTGACGGTTTCTGAGGCCGAGAGGGAGCGCATGATGAGCACGACGCAAATGTACTCCAAGGTGCGCGCGTGAAGGGGCGACGCAAATGTACTCCAATATTCGTGTGCTGTTGGAAGATGTCGGATGTCGGCGGGTTAGATTGTGATGTTTGGGTGCCAGCGTTGTAGGTCGTGTTGTTTGTTGATGGTGGTGTGTTGTGTTTGTGCTTCTGCTGTTGAGGGTGATGTACTCCAGAGTCTGAGGAGAAAGTGGCAGTGGAAGACACGGCACTAAATAAAGTGTTACCTGAACATGTTCCCCTGGAAAAACAAACCCTTGACCCGTCCACCGACATCAAAAAGGGGGCTGACGAAACATAAAAACCATGAACCAGGGGTTCTACGCCCCCCCAAAATTCACGGACATTCCTTTCTCAGGTACGCCAAGTGTCTTAATTTTCTGCGCTTCTTTTCAGTTTCTGTACTTTCATGTGCTGCTGGTATGCCACGCGTAGCTTCACTCTGCAATTGTCGTCGGTCGGCTGTTGCTGATGTTTTGTTATGCTTTTTTACGTTTTTTTGTTTTTGGTGCAGGTGGCGTCGTTCGCGAAGGGCTCCACGACGGACTCCAAGTTCACGGAAGACACTGACACAAAGCACGAAGCGGCGTCCGTGGCAGTGCAAGAGGCGGCTCAGAGGCTGCTCTACGCGGACTATTACAAGCTCAGGAGCTTGTCCACGTGGCCTGTCGAGTCAGCCTGAACGAGTGACACTGGTATGTGATTACGTTCTTCGGAAGTTGTAGGGGGGTTTCAATCAAACCTATCGCAACGGTTTGGACTCTCGGGCGTGGCCCCATGTT